TTACATCCTCATGCAGTTGACAGTCTTTCCATGTTTTTGTCCTCTGCCAGAATTACGCTGCCTTTTGAACAACGTGCCGATGATTCTGGCCTTCGTTTTACTGTTTTCTTTCTTTATTCCGCTGAAAAAAATAAAAAAAAAAAACACAGGAGGTCTCATATTCACTGTTCCTTTTTCTCGATTTTTTTGCGCACCTGTGATTGTTTGCCTCCATCGCACTTCCAGAACCGCTAGCACCAGTAGAGCGAAGTTTTGTTCCATATTATGCTGGGCTGTTAACAAACAGTACAGTGTTTGTTTAAAAATTTTCTGCGTGGCATCAAACTCTTCTCTATTTACGCTCCGCACTTGGAAATAGAGTGATACGTCCGCTGGCAAAATTGTCTGGTATTCTCTTTCGGGGAGTTATTTACCGAAACTTGTTAATTTTTGTTGTTACATAGCAAAAAATTGAACATTCGCTTTGGTACTTCAGTTACCTGCTGCTGCTGGCTTTCCCAATATTTGTGTCTTTAGCTTTTGAGTGTCCTTCAGCAATCCACTGTCAACTGATCGGCCATATCTCCGCCAAAAGAACTGGTTACTTGGACCAGCTATATTTCATAGTCTGGCACTTCCATGCAAATGGCAACTTTTTCAGTCCGCATCACCTGTTCGTCGGTCTGTTGGCGATCCTGATTTTCATTTTATTCCCTGAAGGGGCTGTCAGCTGGACGGTTATTTCAACACAAACACTACTTGGCAAGGCTTTAGCAGTATCGGGTTGCTTTAACGCCATAAAAAGAGGCTGATTGCAGGAATGAAATAATTTTTTAAAAGAAATAATATTTCGATTGTTTTGCAGTGCACCGGTTGTGGAAAAGAATTTGCTAGCGCAAGTGGACGAAAGAATCACGTCTTGAAAGAGCATTTTGACTGGTCAGTTGTATGTCCATTGCGAGGTTGCTCAGATATTTATTCAACAACTAGCGAAATGAAACAACATTTCCAGGTGTGATATTTTGTTTCTGCTAAGAAACTGTTCTTGTTTCAACGATTTTCTGCGAATTTAGGATTTAGGAAAGTTATGGAAAAGCGGAATTTTTTAGGTCGCAGCTGAT